TATATATATATATATGTATATATATGAAATATTTATAGAAATAATTGAGAAGCATTGTTGGTATATTACGGCATATATGTAAACAAGAGAAATGAAATGTGTAAATAAATGCAAATATATTTTATATGCTCTTTTATCTAACAGCTAAGCTGCACAAATGATACTTCAGTGGCATGTGCCAGACCGCTATGAAATACTCAAATTCAAGTTTATAATAATACTTCGAGGGCTAAAGTGCAGCCAAACCTGAATCGGATATTGGAACGACGCTACAATTCAGACGACGAGCCCCTGCGTTCTATATTCAGGGATGGTTAGTTACTTGTTGAATTTGCAACTCTTATTCAAGCTTAGACTCAACAATAGGAACAGGCTCACATTTAGCTTCTGACTCAGCAGATTCATGATAAAGATAGGTGCGTTCGCGTCTCACTTCTACAGGTAGTACACGTCTTCTTAAATCCAATGAATATCAAATAGGAATGGCCAACCGCATCGCCGCAAACATCCAACACGTCAGTCAATACATCCATTACATTTTACTCTTTTCATTCAAATTTACGTCTATTATGTTATTACTATCAATATTATTTATATTATTATTATTGTTGTTGTTATTACTATTAATGTTACTATCGTTATTAGTTATAAATAATATCAATATTATTTATAACCAAAGCACTTCTCAACTACAAATGCACTCGACATTTTACGCATGACTCTTGACATTTTACCTTACTCTTAATAATAATAGCAATAGTAGTAGCAGCATTAAATGACAACAAAATAATAACAGCAATAAATGATAACAATAAAAAGTTCTGTGGCCTTCTTGCTTAAGTGAGTGTATCCCGCGCCATAACAATAGCGTTAGTCTGAAGTCGTTAGCTTTTAACACATAATAATGAACAGTGCAAACAATAATTATAAATAACAATAATAATAATAAACCATTACTGCACTTAAGTCGACCAATCGGCAAGTGAATTTTAAAAATAATTTAATTCTCTTTGCATCTTATTCGATATTTAAAATATTTTATCGATTGTTTCATTACATGTCCTTGACGATTGTAACTGCTTTATATCTAAAATGGTGTGCAGAAAAATATGACTATGGTAATGATAATAATAATAACTATAATAAAGATGATATAAGTTTATAAATAATATTTATTTTTATTAATACAGTTATTTTTTATATACAACACTTTTCATCATTACAACAGCAGCAATAACAGTAGTAACAATAATAACAACGATAGGAACAACAAAAATAATAACAATAATACTGGTTGTAAGTAATGATAATAGCAATAATAATAATAAATATAGCAATAATTACACATCTCATTTTGCATAAAATTTGGTGAACGCAATATTAATTCCGATGATTGTACAAAAAAATTGTCAAGGTCACATTTTTACTTGCGCTCGTGCTGTATTAAAATTAGTGATGCGCACGCAAACTGATACTAATAAATACTTGACTATATAGACTAATTGTGTGATGCAAGTAATATTGTAGCATAAATTATATATAAGTTAGTGCATTTTTCAATTTTTATTGCCAGCTGAGGAGCATTCCAAGCTGCTTTATAGGTTTGCAGTGCATTCGGTGAATTTTATACAAATTAATACTTTCATTATTATTATAGTTATTAGTGTAGTAATAATAATAACAACAATAATAAAATAATACTAATTCGCAACTCTTCCCACAGTACTGCGCACCTATCCGCTTATACAGCATATCTGTATGCAGTCAATGCGAAAACACTGAAATTGTTCAAAATAATAAATTAATTATAATATTTATTGTATGTAATTGAGTGTTATTGTATATTGAGTGTTAAGTATAGTATTTATTGTATATAATTATAATATTTATTGAGTAATATTTGATAAATAGTAAAGGTTGATTAAAATTTTATTCGGCTGAATGTCATCCACTCTCATGACTTATGTATTAATTTGTCTGCTTCATCGCCAAATTTTCCGATTGTAAAACTGAAAATTTCGAGTATTCTTTCATGAATGCATTCGCTAAAGTCTTTACAATGATGTTATGTAAAAACAATGTAGAATTTGTGAAAATTTACTCGAATATTCCAAAAAATTTTACAGAAATTTAACACAATTTGAAACTTCACTCGAAAATGTCACTATTTTCCCCAGCTAGTTCACCCTCCACCCCACAAATTTCATACCAAAATACTCCTAATTCTATGCTCCATTGATTGCGCTCAAAATTTTCCACAAATTTTCATTCAGTTTTCAGAATTTTCCAATGTTCTCACTGCAACTTACCGGCTCAATATCGCTGAATAACGTTTCGATGTTCGTTTCGACGAAGAGTCCCGCCGTAGTTCTGCCTCTGTGTATATATATGCAATGCGATCGCAGCGCAAACACATCGTTTATTGTGCTCAAACAGCTGAGTTTATCTCTCATCACGAATTGCGTCGCAGCCTCAATTCTCTCACGTCTTCATACCCTCTTCACATCGTCTTCGACGTTAAAAGCAACCCGTATATCGACTCGAAATGACTACCTCAGCATCACCTAAACCCAAGTCCCCGTCCAAAAAGGTCACATCCCCATCCAAACTGAAAAAATCCAGCTCCAAACTCTCGTCAAGTCACCCTACCTATTCGGCTATGGTCAAATCTGCTGTTGCCGCACTTAAAGAGCCAAAAGGTTCTAGTCGTGCCGCCATTCTGAAGTATATCGTTCAACACTATAAAGTGGGCGAAAATATTCCCAAGGTTTGTCTCTTATTTTAATTATTACTATTATCATCAGCTGTGTGTAAGATAATAATAATTAGTGGAAGTAATGATAGTAACAACAGTAATAGATCATGGTTGCAAGTAAAAGTAAAAAATATTCAGGTCAATGCACATTTGCGTCAAGCCTTGAAGAAGGGAGCGATGAGTGGAGTTTTAAAGCAAACCAAAGGAACTGGTGCTTCGGGATCTTTCCGTTTGGGTGATAAAGCAGTCAAAAAGACTGTTAAAAGAGTCAAGAAATCCCCCACCAAGAAAGTTGCAACTAAAAAGCCGGGAGCTGCAGCTATGTCGCAATCGGCAAAGAAGGTGTGCTCTTATTTATTATAATTATAATAATTATTATTATTACTGATATAACGGCAAGGAATAATAAGTTGAACATTCTTAATATATATGTGGACATAAATGAATGTGCGTTACAGGCAAACCCGACTAAAAAGGCCAAGAAGGCAGCGGGCAGTCCCAAGAAGCCAAAAGTGAAGAAATCGCCAGCTAAGGCCAAGAAGGCAAGAGCAAACAATTTGAAAAAGGCCGCAAAGAGCCCTAGCAAGACCAAAACCACTCATAAGAAAATGGTTAAAAAGCCCGTTGTTAAAAAAACTAAAGCTTAAATTCATTTTATGCCTAGTATTTTTTGTCCAATGGTTATATAATCATCACCTCAACAAATTTATATGTATATGTAATGATCAAATTGTATATAATCAGATCGATAAATGTTATGAGTAGTGTGTCACTCCCAACACTCGCTATTTTCCGTACAACAATGTCCATGTATTGATCTCAGTTGATGTTGAATTTTGTTTTTGTAACTCTCTCCTACCCTGCAAAATGCTGTGTCACGTGCTGTATTGTATTGTAAATGCCTTATTTTTTGAAGAACCTCTTTCGCTATCTTCTCTAAATAAAAGCACACCCTTCTGATATTCTTATTATCCACTTTTAGCAATGTATATATCTATAACCATCGTCTCATTATTATTGTTCTCTAGAAATATCATATATTGAATACCTCTGTGTGTCATAAATATGCAATATGAGGGTTCTTTTTTTTCATTCATGCATCTTCAGTAGACGTGACACTGGCACGACGCACGAAATGATATGTGGGTTGTCTGCAAAACGTTTGTATTTTTTCGGAAGAAGGTTCAGATTTTTTTTGTTGGAAAACCACGACGAACCATTCTCAGGTAGACACCCACAACTGAGAACATCGTGGTTATCAAGATCATACCCCAAACTACATGGCAGATCATTCCGACCAATAGCACAGGGTCATCGGCTGTCGGGAATTTATCACCGAATGCAACGGTGGCAAAACTGATCACACTGAAAAATTATCGTTCTAGTCAGGCACACCTGTGCGATGGAATTTCAGGTTTTTGCAAAAAAAATAACCTGAAAAGCGAAAAATAACTTGAAATAGATATGGTCCATGGAGAATTCCTTCCCTTTATGATAGAACAGCAGTGATCCGAACGTAAAAGCAGTGTTAAAATAGTTTATAGAGGCATTCTGGCGTTCTCGCATGCACGCCATCGGATGGATCTCCTGCAAACTC